CAATTCCTACCTACCTGAGGGAGTTGTGTTAAAACTTAAAAGCTTGACGTGTGAATGACCTCATACACAATTTCAACCCAGTAGGTAATGGAGCACCTACGTCTTTTTACGTATGCCTACATATCTACGTTATTCCTGTCCCGCACTGCATAATCATGACATCTTACATCAATAGCAAACATTATCAATGCTCACCCAGCATTCGATTCCCAGTACTTTTCTTTCCAACAGCAAAATGTTGGGGTCTGGTCTGGGGACATCTGAGCTCAGCCCAGCACTGGTCGCCAGCATTGCCATGATGACGTCATCAAATATTGTTGGTCAGAACCCGTCCAGTCACCAAGTTGCCAGTGAAGTTGGCGACGCCCGTCGGCACTCCTTTGATCTCCCCTGACGTGGCGCAATCAGCTGTATTGTGACGTCATTGGTTAGAGTTAAAATTATCCAATGGAATTCGGCACCGTGACAGGCATTGCATTGCAGATGAAAAACTTGGGCCAGTGCCAAAGTGCTCTGTGATATGTTCCACGAATGGCCTTGTAGTGATTTGATTGCTTTTTGAGACGGCTTCCTAAAAAGAAATCATTTATTGATTCAGTCTTGGACGTTTCACAAAAGGCATCAATTTACTCAAATCGTCATCAGCGTGAGTTTGAAATGACGTCTTATACCGTTCGAACTTCTGACTATTTCTTACCCGATGAGCTGCCCAAAACTCGTCTATGTTCCCCGAAGATAGCCGCTGCCTCCTCTCCTGATGACCCCACAATGACCTGGCGATGCCCTCCGGCCAGCTCTGCCTTGATGCTCGGCGCCTCCGCGCCGCTCCAGCGCGCCGGAAGCCTCCGCTTCCGGCTGCCGCCACACGGGCCGGAAGTGACCGGAAGTGGCCGCCGGCGGAAATGATGGGCGCCGGAAATGACCCGACTAACGAGGCGCGGGCACTCTGGCCGCCCGAGGTGAGATGGATCGAGGGGGAGGTACTCGGGGGTGAGTCTTGGGGTGATGAGAGTGATGGTATGACTAATGACATAGCTGGAGACGGACGGAAGACAATTTCAATATTAGTCCGCCAGCTTTTTATGCTCAGTTCTATGTTTGTGATAAGTTTGCCGTTGGGATGTGAGCTTTTAATTTCTGCGATCGTTCTTGGGCAATTATAGAACAGCCGTAAGGTATTTTATTCAACCACCTACAATTTAAGAGGCAATTTACGTGCTTGCTATACCTACCAGAGCGATATTTGATGCCATGCGATTAAGCCGATTGATAAAACCCTCAGGACAACTCAATGATTAATCGGTATATTTGCGCCGTTCTAATTATTTTCACATTCATAATTAACGTATTCATGTTCCACTTTCCTCACACAACCATTTAATTTTTCCCCCTAGCCAACCACACTCTAACCACGACCACCCACAACGTTCTACCGACGGCCGATATCATCCGATACAACGGCGCCTACAGCGCTGCCGTTTTTCCATGAACACCGCCACTGAAGCCCCGATCGGCAATAAACGCCTGACGCTATCAATGCCGACAGCCGTGAAGATGAAGCCGACAGGCAGACTGACGGACGGCGGCCGGTGAGAAGCCTCTCAGGGTGAGAGGTGTCAGGTGAGAGCACTGGCGGTGGTTTGATCGCTGGGGAGGGGGGATGGGTCAGTCTAGATCGTTGCGTCTGGCGGGGGGGGGGGGGGCGTGTGGCATGAATATGAGGCACGATTAACTGTGGTGTTATGGTTTTGCGGTAGGTCAATACTATCATATTCTGAGCGTTCGAAGGTTTGCATCCGATTCATTATCGCATTTTGCGATTTGTGAATTTCTGAGATCGAAGTTTTCAAGTAACAACGATGACTGACTCACAAGGACTGTGATTATCTTTGCTGCTGCCTAATATGAACCCTATCATAAAATATTGTCTTTAAAAATATTTTATCAATTGATGTGTGATCATTCAGTCATGCACCTCATTGACCACGTCCATTCCCCAAAAGTCCTCTGACAACTGCAGACTTATCGGCGGTCAGCGTTCAGCCAGTGGGTCACTCGGAGCCACCACCAATCACCATGGCGACCTGCCTGAGTCCTCTGGTTGTAGAGCTGTATCACCACACCTTCAGCGACCCGGAGCTGAAGGAGCGACCTCAGAGGTGAACGAGCTGACTGCTTGAGCTTATATTTGGTTGGAAAGAAGGCTGCTCTGGCTTTGAGATTCGATTCACAAAATTTGTTGCAGACAGCAGATATTTTACAAAGATTCCCTCAGTAAAACACTTTTCCCTGAAATGCAATATTTTAGTTAATCTAAGTTAGATAATTTCATGTGAGTAGTTGGTGGATAATTAAAGATACAAATATATACGATTGATTTTGACGTGACTATGTCTCCATAAATGGGCACTACAAATCCCAAGGAATATTCAAGTGAGTATCTCACAAAACCTTCAAAAAGTGGACCTATTACCAACTACTCCATCCCTGATTAATCGCTTTCTGCCATCTTCTGCCTACCCGGCGCACTACTATTTCCGCTTATTCCCTATAGATGGCGCCAGGGTAGGGCTGACCGCCGTATCGGCGCGCCAACAAATGGCCGGTCCGGCTGCGAGTAACGACTCCATCCGCTGATATATGAGACCGTTAGTGAAACAGGCACCGTGATAAACGCGCGACCAACACGAAATGGCGCGCCCCTGAACCGAGAGGGTAATGGGGGAGGAGACGGTAGGGCGCTCTGGGAACGTAGGTAGTAAATGTAGCATAATGAATAATGATAGTTTTAATTTTATGAAGTGGTCCCTTAGAGGCGAAGCAAATGTAGCACGGCTTGCTGCTCTAACGAAGTTTTATCAACCGGTTACTAAAATTGTAACATCCTGATGGCTTTGTGAAATTTTAACCCTCGCCGGCCGAGGGGGGTGCCGCCCCCCATAGGGTTTTTTTCGCGATAGCTCCGAACACGCTGGCGATAGAGAGCTGAAACTTGGCATACCTGACCTTTCATTCAAGCCGGATCTTTTGACACCAACCGCGTTTTTGGGTCAGGTCAGGTCACTGACCTATGACGTCATAAGTGAACCTCTGCACGGTCTTCAGAAGTCGCAACTTCGCAACGCCCTCACTGCCAGAGGAGATGTCACAGGGAAATGAAACTTGCAGGATCTAGTATCCATTATGAGTCTCACAACTTGTATATCTCGGATTTTTCATAAAGGTCATATGAGGTCAGGTCATTTTCGTGACCTCACCATTATAAGTCAATGGGGAAAAATTCAAACTGCTATTCTGGCACCGGGAACGATCTCCAAGTATCTCAAGCACACAGAATCGTGATTGGATGCACTCCTTGCAAGGTTAGATGCGTCACTTTTGCAATGTTGACCTTGCGTGACGTCATTTATGACGTCATCAAGGTCATATTAGTTTTTCGTCAATAACTCTTGATCAAATTGAGCTAGCGAGTCGGGAAAGCCACCAATGGACTCAGGAAGACCTGCCGAATCGAATGATATGCGACATGACCCCTTTCGACCAACTTCGTGACCTTGGGGTGCTGACCTGACCTTGACCTGAGGTCAACACCCCAAGTTGACCTGACCCGAACAAAAAGTATATCATTCGACGCGCCTGAGCGAGGCGAACACGATGCTGCCAAAATCGCGGCTCTGCGGCCGTTTTTTGCGAAGTTATTCACCAAAAACTGAACCGTACCTTGGGGCACTTGACCTGACCTCAGAGGTCACCGGTTGACCTAGGACCTTAAAGTCGGGTACCAATCTCTGCGTCTCCTAACGGCGCACACGCTCGTTTTTTCCGCGACGCGCTAGCTCCACCAGGGGCGAAACGGCGGGGGGGGGGGGGGTCGTACCCGCCCCCCCCCCTCGGCCGGCGCGTATGTAGAAAACCAATAGGTCCGGCGAGGGTTAACTGGTTTATATGAAAAATTGGTTACACAATTAGTTAACCATAGGTTTGCAACAGATGTTGAGTCTCGTCTGACATGGCTGCGTTGTGCCGTTGTGTAATGCAGTGTTGCGTAAATCATGGGTAGCTTAGAATGAGGTAACGTTTTGTGTCTCTCTGTTTGGTCACATAGTTTGTATTCTAGCCTTGTCGCGTAGGGTCGGCGTCGGGTCATAAGTGGTCATAAATGGAGGTCTATGGCCACACATGTGCGCGGCAGCAGGGACACGCCGGCCCGTATATCGGGCGGCCCGGCTGGACATTGGGAGACGGGCGGGCAGTGGAGAGCAGGGCGGGAGAGAGAGAGGACGGGTCGGTGTGCGCGTTGAGATGTCTGAAGGGTGAAGAAATACAGTCTACGATAGACGCAAAGTTTGAATGCCACAAGCTATTTCGGCATTTTTCTGACAAGTGGTGAGAAGATGCCGAGTGTCGAGGAGGAGACCAGTGACACCGCGGGAAGAGCGGTGATGGAGGTGACTCCGGCGTTCGACGCCAGGACTATTCCGGAGTTCGACGGAACTGGAAACGTAGTGGAGTGGCTGGAGCAGGCTGCTCTCCTGTGCGAGCTGCGATCAGTGTCCCTGATGGCTGTGTTGCCGACTCGCCTGCGCGGCGGTGCTTTCGCGGTGTGGTCCCGAATGCCCGCAGCGACTCGTCATCAGCTGCCCAGCGTGAAGGCTAAGCTGCTGAGGGCCTTCGCCATGGACCCGTTCACAGCGCAGGCGGAAATGGCTCGGCGTCGCCTTCATCCCGGAGAGACGGCGGATGTGTACTTAGCGGCGCTGCAGCAGCTCGCTGAGTTGATGGGAGGTCTGCCGGAGAGAGCTATCGCCATCACCTTCGTCAATGGGCTGCCGGAGGCTGCGCAAGCTGCGGTTCGGGACGGGCTCGGAGACGAGTTCACTCTCGAGTACGTCCTGGACCGAGCGAGAGCCGTACTGTCCAGGACAGCAGTCACGGCAGCGCCACCGGCGGCGGCGGCAGCGGCGGCGGGGGCGGCGACGGCGGCGGCGAGTGGGCCATCACGTGACATTTCAAGGTCAAGTCGCCGGCCGGCTCCGATCAGATGCTGGATATGTGGTCGCCCAGGTCATATCGCCCGGATGTGCCCAAACGGCTGCGGCGGGGGAGCTGCATCAGCGCCAGCACCTCCTCCGCCGTCCACCGAGCCGGCAGCAGAGCGCCGGTAATCCAGATGCTGCTCGACGGGCGACCGTGTCACGCGCTGGTGGACACGGGCTGCGAGGAGACCGTGGTGTTCGCGGGTTGTGTCGATAAATGGGATCGATGTGAGACAAACTTGACCGCGGTGAATGGGAGTGTCGTGCGATGCAGCGGGAGTGCAGAGGTGCTGCTGGAGGCACAAGGCCGGCGGGCGGTGGTCCGTGCTGTGGTAGTGGCGGAAAGGTTGTTGGGTGTTGACGTGCTGTTGGGCATGACCGGGTTAGAGGCGCTGGGTGGTGTGTTTGTTAGTGGTGGAGAGGTGCGTTTTGGTGGTAAAGTGGTGACGGGGGAGCGTTCGGGGTGCACCGGTGTAAAGGCAGAATCGAGCGGTATGTCGGCAGCGGTGTCTCAGGGGCGTGGTCCAGTGGACAGACAGATCGAGACGGCTGATTTTGTGGCTAAGTTCAGCGACGGAAAGTGGACAGTTTGGTGGAAGTGGGCCGACGGAAAGGAGCCAAAACAACTCAAGAATACTGTGCCGCAATATCGCGTGCCGGCAGAGTCGCAGGAGCGGTTCGACGCAGAGTTACGGCTGTGGATCGAGGAAGGGTGGCTGCAACCGTACAATGAGCAGGAACACGGGCCGGTGCGTGGCCTAATTCCGCTCATGGCGGTCACCCAGGAAGCCAAGGACAAGGTCAGGCCGGTGCTCGACTACCGTGAACTGAATGAGCACCTGGTGGCTCATACGGCTGAAGCTGATGTGTGCCGCGACCAGCTCCGCAAGTGGCGGCAACACGGCGACGATGTGGCCGTCATCGACCTGAAGAAGGCGTTTCTGCAGCTGCACGTGGCCCAGGAGCTGTGGCCGTTTCAGACGGTAATCGTGGACGGCCAGCGACATTGTCTGACAAGGGTCGGATTTGGTCTCAGCGTTGCAAGCGGCATCATGCGAGCGGTAGTGCGGGAAGTTTTGGATCAAAGTCCAGAGATCGCAAAAGCAGTGCTCCCGTACGCTGACGACCTGCTCGTCAACGAGACGCTCATCTCGGCTGAGCGGGTGGCCGAACATTTTTCCGCATACGGGCTCTCGTGTAAGCCACCGGAACGGGTAGCGGATGAGGCCGGAGCCCGGATGCTGGGGCTCCGAGTGAGACGGCAGTCTGGCGGTGACGGCACACTGAGATGGTCTCGGGACGGCGTGACACCAGCTGAGCCACCCGGGGTGCTGACCAGGCGGTCAATCTTCGCCTGGGCGGGTCAGCTAACCTCACACGTGCCCGTCGCCGGGTGGCTGCGGCCGGCCGCTGCCTGGCTGAAAAGGGCGGCGAACAAGGTCACCAAAGATTGGGACTCACCGATCACCGACGATGACCTGCGCAAACAAGTCAGTGATGTGGCCCGGCGGCTGGCAGAGTGTGACCCGGCACGAGGACAGTGGTGCGTCTCAGGAGACTCGGTGACGGTGTGGACTGATGCCAGCTCCATCGCCCGCGGCGTAGTGCTAAGTGACCCCACCACGGGTGAGGTTATCGAAGACGCCGCGTGGCTCCGATCTGACAGTGACTCAGACATGCACATAAACCTATCGGAGCTGGATGCCGCGCTGAACGGTATGAATATGGCGGTGGCGTGGGGATTCAAGCGTGTGATCCTCCGCACAGACTCTGTCACTGTTCAGCGCTGGCTGACCGACGCTCTGACAGGCCGTGCCCGACTGAGAACGAAGGCACAGTCGGAAATGCTGGTTCGGCGGCGGGTGGCCGTTTTCAAGCAGCTCTCCAGCGAGTACGACCTCGTCGTGACAGTGGAGCTCGTGCCGTCGGCTGCCAACCGTGCAGACGAGCTCACGAGAGTACCAAAAGAGTGGATCAGAACCGGAAGCGAGCAGGCGACAGGTGTGGTGGCGGCCGTTAGGACAGCTCGACCGGAGGACATAATGGCGGTGCATGAAAGTGTGGGACACCAGGGAGTGCGGCGGACGTGGTGGTATGCGCGCCGAGAGCTGGGAAAGAGCGTGACGAAGTCGGCCGTTCGTCAGATCGTTAGATCGTGCCAGGTGTGTGCGTCGATCGACCCAGCCCCGTCGCGCTGGAAGCATGGTGCCTTGGCGGTCGAGCGCAACTGGGAGCGGCTGGCAATGGACGTAACCCATTTCCGCGGAAAACACTATCTCACCGTGATTGACTGTGGGCCGTCGCGATACGCCATGTGGCGTGAGATCCGCCGCTCTGACGGGAGCGAGATCGTCAGACAACTCGAGGCTCTGTTTTTGGAGCGAGGAGCACCGGCCGAGCTTCTAATGGATAATGCGACCGAATTCAAGGGTCGAGAGCTGAAGGCGTTCGCGGTGCGGTGGGACGTCGAGCTGAGGTATCGCGCGGCCTATGAACCTGGTGGGAATGGCATCATCGAGCGCCACCACCGCACCATCAAAGTGATGGCCGCCCGTCAGGGATGCACCGTACCAGAAGCCGTGCACCGATATAATGTCACGCCCAAGGACGGGCGTGATATTACCACGGCCCCGATACATGGTGCCTACCGTCAGGCTGGCAGAGACTTGTGCGTGCAGTCACAGGGAAACACAGCTGCTCCTCCTCAGACGGCCGGCCAGCCTGGTGTGTATCAGCCCGGTGATGCGGTGTGGGTCCGAAAACGGGGCGATCGGTGCACCGCCGTGTCAAAGGAGGGCACTGTCACCAAAGTCGTATCCGCTCAGACGATTGAAGTGGATGGAGTCCCATGGCACGTGCGGAACATTCGTCATCGTCTTGCCAACAACGATGACGACGCAATGGCTGCTTCGACGGATGATGAGCAGGAAGAGGAGATCGCCTGTCCGGTTCCGACCGCCCATGTGCCTGGACAGCTGGCCATTGAGGCGCCGGCGGCGGTGGAGCCGTCAGAGCTGACCCCAGCTGCCGCGCCGACCGAGCAGACCGAGCCGGTCCCTCGAGCAGCAGCTGAGGCGGATGGCGGTGCCGGAACAGAGGAGCGGATCCATACAGTGAAAGTTGTAAAAACAGAAACTGAGGGATTGTCAAACGACTGTGTGAACGAAGGTAGAGCGCCAGCAGAAAGTGTAGATAATATCGATAGTTATAGTGACGTGCTAAGAAGGGGTTTGCGCTGCAGGCGTGCGCCGCAACTCTTCGGCGCTCCCATCCCCCATTAGTTAAACTGTAGTTAGATGTGTTCTTTAGGAACAGGGGGGAATGTGTCTCTCTGTTTGGTCACATAGTTTGTATTCTAGCCTTGTCGCGTAGGGTCGGCGTCGGGTCATAAGTGGTCATAAATGGAGGTCTATGGCCACACATGTGCGCGGCAGCAGGGACACGCCGGCCCGTATATCGGGCGGCCCGGCTGGACATTGGGAGACGGGCGGGCAGTGGAGAGCAGGGCGGGAGAGAGAGAGGACGGGTCGGTGTGCGCGTTGAGATGTCTGAAGGGTGAAGAAATACAGTCTACGATAGACGCAAAGTTTGAATGCCACACGTTTTTCGGATGGTTTTCGAAGAGATTTACCTGCTTTCTATGCCGGCACCGGATAACGTTATTGCTTTAGACTCAGTCACGAAAATATTTAAACCTTAGCCGTAAGTCCCGTAACATACCCAAGTGGCCGCCTGTCCGCCTGTAATGAAGCCTTTACGTAACGCATTCCTAGAGAAATCAAAGTGGACACGTGACATCAAATAACTACATGGTCAGCACCATGACTCATTTGTGTAAAACACATGTGACTTCATGTGTCCACTGGCTATAGACTTGCCGTGCCTGGTTTGACATAGGAACCTAGTTGACAACGATTTAAGTGAAACGGAAGTCAAATGCACAAAACAACAAGGTGTTAGCTAGCTCATTCATTTTGGGTGTTCAGAGAAAAATGCTAATGCCGGTCCCTTATGCGGCCAACACAAGTTCAGTCCATCATTTTGATGGTTCAAAACGTTCGGTCCATCGTTCCACAGCTCGACTTTAGTTATTCCTCATCATTACCCCAACCCTGGCCTTCCGCATATCACACAGCCGCTACAAATACGAAACTGACAGCCTGTCCACACCGTCCCATCAATAATTAACGTCCCGCCACACAGCTATGAAACACGACTTGTCGGCTTTGTACCATTGCATGCTATTCGGCGTCCAGCTGATTGCCAGATTAACGAGTTTCACCGCCCGGCTGATGGCTGATTTACGAGTCCACTCGCTTGTCACAGCACTGGGTGAATTTTGCATAAGGTAGGTAGTGGTACATACCACTGGCTTCAAAGCATACTTCTGTGACCATTTAGTGTCATTGTGGTGGCTAGGAACAGCTGACAAAACGTGTTAACAGTACTAGGTAGATAAGGGTAGGGTTACCTTCTTGTCTCCAGAACAACACTACTTCGTCCTTCTTCCTTCACGAGCCCCTAACCACCTTAACCCTCGCCGGCACAGGCCATTTTGAGTCCTTCGACGGCACAAGGGGGGGATGGTACGACCCCCCTCGCGTTTTGCCCCTGATGGAGCCAGATCTTCGCGGAAAAAACGAGCGTGTTGCCCGTCACGAGAGGAAGCCAATGATACCCAATTTTAAGGTCCTAGATCACCGGTTGACCTTCCAGGTCAGGTCAATGACCCAAAAATCGGGAATATCAGGACCTGTTAGAAAGTCGTAAAGCGTGGCTGCCAAGGGGTTTCCGGGGTGCTGATCACGAATACCGTGTTAGTTTTGATAACAGATGATGTCGTTAAGCGTTTAGACCAGGTCGGGTCAGGTCAGGTCAGGTCAACCGGTAGGAGTCTTGACGGGTATTCGTAGTACCTGTCATCCGCCTCTGACAGCTTCGTAACATGTTACGAAGGCACCAAAACTACTTCGTAAATGTTCAAATGGCTGCTAAATTCGAGTTCAGTTCCAAAAACTAGCCTAGAAACATGTAAAACTCGAAAAAGTGAACCGAGGTAGGTCACCAAAGGTCAATGACCTAGCATGACCTTCAGGTGACATTGACACCCACCCTAATGCATGGGAGCAACATCAAATCACATGTTTGAACGTTTGAAACCACGAAAAGCTTGCAAACGCGCGGCTAATGCGAGCCGACATACGCCGAATCGCGATTTCGGCCGAAGATGGTCACGGAAAAGAGGTCACAGGTCAAAGGTCATTGGGTTCAGGTTTATGGAATTTTCAGGGTAGGTGTAAAATTGATCAATGCGAGGGTACTGAAAGTTTCGTCGCGATCGACCGCTTTTTACGCGAGTTATTTGCGAAAAAACCTTAGGGCGGGGGGGGTGGGGGGGTTGCATCCCCCCCTGTGCCGGCGAGGGTTAAAGACTACCTTAACCCTCGCCGGACCTATTGGTTTTCTACATACGCGCCGGCCGAGGGGGGGGGGGCGGGTACGACCCCCCGTCCCTCGCCGTTTCGCCCCTGGTGGAGCTAGCGCGTCGCGGAAAAAACGAGCGTGTGCGCCGTTACGAGACGCAGAGATTGGTACTCGATTTTAAGGTCCTAGGTCAACCGGTGACCTCTGGGGTCAGGTCAAGTGCCCCAAGGTACGGTTCAGTTTTTGGTGAATAACTTCGCAACAAACGGCTGCAGAGCCGCGATTTTGGCAGCATCGTGTTCACCTCGCTCAGGCGCGTCGAATGATATACTTTTTGTTCGGGTCAGGTCAATTTGGTGTGTTGATCTCAGGTCAAGGTCAGGTCAGCACCCCCAGGTCACGAAGTTGGTCGAAATAGGTTATGTCACATATCATTCGATTCAGCAGGTCTTCCTGAGTCCATTGGTGGCTTTCCCGAGTCGCTAGCTCAATTTGATCAAGAGGTATTGACGAAAAACTAATATGACCTTGATGACGTCATAAATGACATCACGCAAGGTCAACATTGCAAAAGTGACGCATTTAACCTTGCAAGGAGTGCATCAAAAAACGATTCTGTGTGCTTGAGATAGTTGGAGATCGTTCCCGGCGCCAGAATAGCAGTTTTCATTTTTCCCCATTAACTTATAATGGTGAGGTCACGAAAATGACCTGACCTCATATGACCTTTAGGAAAAATCCGAGATATACAAGCTGTGAGACTCATAATGGATACTAGATCCTGTAAGTTTCATTTCCCTGTGACATCTCCTCTGGCAGTGAGGGCGTTGCGAAGTTGCGGCATCTGAAGACCGTGCAGAGGTTCACTTATGACGTCATAGGTCAGTGACCTGACCTATCAAAGGTCAGGTATGCCAAGTTTCAGCTCTCTATCGCCAGCGTGTTTGGAGCTATCGCGAAAAAAAACTATGGGGGGGGGGCGGCACCCGCCCCCCCCCCCTTCGGCCGGCGAGGGTTAATCGCCCCGTCCCCTTACACCAACAACCCTTTGTGACGTGTTACAAGGAGTTCTCAGCACAAGCAAAACCCTACCTCTTCGTCTGAGCTAGGGCCGACTCCCACCGTGCCCGTTTCTCTCTGCGATAAATTAGCAGAAATTACAATTATTCTCACCCCGTTGCGCCGCACCAATGTCGTATCGCCAATAAAAGTCGTCATAATGTCGACATAAACATGCGACTCGTGCAATTTATCGTTGGGTACCGCCAGGGCAGCGCATTGTTTTAGCGGGCAAATGTATATGCATGGAAGGCGAGCAGGTAGGCAAGCTGTCATTGTAAATAATACCAGCTGATTAAAGTGAGTGGGAAATGACGCAACACCAATGCTCGTGCACGTCCCAGTGGGGTCGTTATTTGTGCCTAAATTGGCTTGGCCAAGACGATAATGAGCTTGGCTATTTTTCAAACGAGGAACAAACCCTTATCTGGACAGCATCAGCGAACTATTATGACCGATTTCGACGGGGAGAGTCGTAAAGTGTGATGTGATGGGTGCGCATCAGTTACCTTCAACAGAAAATGTAGCAGCGTGGGAGTAACGGGACAATAACGCCTCGTATATTTTGTAATGCGAGTTGTAATGATTATGCAGTAAATGTTACAGTGCTATTAGCATGGACAATAACACTAGCCATGAGTCAAGGCTATATGGTCACTCGGGAAAATAAACGACCCCATGTGTTGCGATATTTCTTTGAGCGTTTCATTTCTTTGCATTTCTTTTGGGGTCATGTTTATAAACAGCTAGAGGCATTGAGCGAGCCACCGTTTGCGACTAGGGTAGGGTAGAACGAAGCTTCATTTAGACAGATTTTCCTGTATGTTTGATGCAGTCTTGCAATGCAATCCAGCCATCCAAGAAACTTTGCGCGAGACGTTTTCTTGGATGGTTTTCTTGGATAGCTTGATTTCATCGAGGGCTTCTGTTTTTAAGAAAATTTGTAAGCTTTGCTGAACTGTAAAGTAATTAGAACTGCCAATATTTCAGTATTTAACGTGTAATTAATGTTACTGTATTTTATTTATGCATATTTCGGCCTTTTTTAAGCAAATAACGAACGATGTTAACAAACATACAGGAAATAATATCTAGGACTCTACCGCGACGAAATATTTCTATCTCGAGTTTTCAAAGAATTTCATGCACTCGGCCAAGGCCTCGTGCATGAAATCCTTTGAAAACTCTCGATAGAAATATTTCGTTTTCGGGGTATCGTCCAAGAATGTATATTCCGGTATCACTTCTTCTCTCATTGCATCTCTTCTGACAGTTTTTAACAGCACCCCTTCATCTGGCAGCTTTTCCGCACCACCCTCTTCATCTGGCATCTTTTCCCTTCATTTGGCAGCTCTGAGCGTGTCTGTCGGTGTCGACAGCCGTCCTTTGTCGACTCTCTGCTCTCCGATGGTTTATTCCACCTTACCAATGACGCTGTCTTCCCGCTCTGACAGGTGCTTTCGTCACTGGGTACCGCGGCTGAATACTCTGGAGTGAATCCGACCGCAGGGCGTAAACTAGCGCCCGGCCGCAGCCGACGCCAAAATGAACAGATACGTCAGCGCGATCGACGGCCGGCAGCGATAAATGAGAGGTCAAACGACCGATCGGAGGTAAGGAATGGGTGATTGGAGATCGGCTGAGCAGGATTGAGATCAATGCGGGCTAGTTATGGATGAAAATAATTCATTCTTTATTGTTTGATAAAATGAGAGGATGTGCGAGTCATATAACTTTTCACATAGCTGAGTCAAATACGCTCTAACGTTTTAGTGATTAAGTGATGGCTTAATTGATGGTTGCCACCAGCTGTTATATGTGTTACAGGCAAAGTGAAAACTCGGGCATTTTGCAAAATGCCTAGGCAATTTGCAAAATGCCTGACCCGCCAGGCATTTTGCAAAATACCCAGGCAGTTTGCAAACTGCCTGACCCACCAGGCATTTTGCAAACTGCCTAGGCATTTTACAAAATGCCTGACCCGCCAGGCATTTTGCAAAATGCCTGGGTTTCCATATATGTATTCCACCGTTTTTGTTGACTACAGGCGTTGATCATAAACGTTCCACTGCGACTGACCCCACAACACATTTCACATGTGTTGTGGGCA